AATGTATCAGTGACTGAGTTTTGCAAACGTGTCATAAGAATATTTTATTAGTGTTAATGTTAACCCCACCAAGAATATTTAAATACACTGAACCATGTGTTCAGCTTTAATGGCTGTACTCCTGAGATTTACAGAGGAAAAAATCGTGAGAATGAGTTTAGTATTTAGCTATGACTGATTAAACGCGCAAATACTTCATTGCTCCTGAGAAACAGGTTACACTGAGTGGAGCGGTCGACCGTTTCAAGATGGCGGCCCTAAATCTCGTCAGCGCCAATAGACGATAGCGGTCAATGCTGTATGTAGTCATATATGATATCTATGATATATGATATCTATGTCTGAAACTGTGGTTAGCGGAAGTGACGTTTGTAGTTCAGTTGCTAAGCTGCGGCGGGTCAAACAGACACACGTCAAGTGTTAGCTGGTATTAGCAGCACCTTTAACAGCGTTCGTTGGTCCCGGCTCTGTTTGTTTCGGATCGGAACAACCGGTACCCGTGAAGCTGCTAACTGAGGTTAGCTTTAATCATACGGGAGTTTTGCTCAGTGGCCACTTAGAATAGCTGCTGTCGACGTGATATAACTTGTTTACAAACCGCTTCGACCGGAACCAGGAGTAATGGAGCTTCTTGGATCGTTGTACAAAGTTTAACTTTAGCAGAACCCTCGGGTGTCTGTTCAGGTTAAATATACATTTTCATCTCACAGGTAATTATCGCTACACTTTCCTCGTAACGTCAGACCATGAACTCTACACTTTAGTCCAATAAATATCTGGACAGACTGTATGTTCAAATCTAAAAAAGTTAAATCGGGTCCTCTGGACATAAAAAAAAAAAAAAAAAGCAAAACAACAAAAAAATGTAGAAGTGTTTCGTCTCTCATCCGAAAGACTTCCTCAGTCTGAGGAGCTGTATTCAGCTCAGTCCTATAAATAGCACCTTCTCAGAGTGGATCAACCAGTTTTGCTGCTGACAACCAAAACCAGCTGCTCACATGATCGAGAAGGACCATCAGCCTAACAGGATTAGCACCCTGATGGCCGTTTACTATTCACAGAGGGTTGAGTGATACTAGCAATAACAGCATTGTAAGAGGGGGACAGTTGAACCCGGAGGCCTCCACCCCTGTTTAATGATGGACGATTTCTTTTCACAAAGATGGCCTCCTTTACTCCTCTCTCAAACCATCGTGCCTCTCTATCCAGGATGTGAACATCTTCATCCCTGAAAGAGTGACGGCTGGCCTGGAGATGAGTGTAGACCGCAGAATCCTGGCCTGATGATGTTGATCTTCTGTGCTGGTCCATCCTTTTGGCCAGTGGCTGTTTAGTTTCCCCGATGTAAGACTGATCACAGCCCTCCTGACACTGAACAGCATCCACAACATTACTCTGTTTGTGCCGGGGGACTGGATCTTTGGGATGAACCAGTCTTTGCCGTAATGTATTTTGGGGTTTAAAAGCCACTGGGACGTTATGTTTAGAAAATAAACGTCTCAGTTTCTCTGATACCCCCTCAACATACGGAATGACCACTGGTCTGGGTCTGGGTTCCTCCTTTTCACCTGATGGCTGACTGGA